CGGTGCTCCAGAACGTTCTTTATCTTCAAGGTCAAAGTCATTATTTTTAAAGCGCCTAAACCAGTCTCTGCATGTCGTATTCGACAGAGCATTGTCACCATATGTTTCAACAAGAATTCTGTGTGCTTCAGCTGCAGATTTCTTTTGAATAAAGCAGTGCAATAAAATTCCCCGCAAAAACACTTTATTTGGCACAAAAGTAGACATTTTCGCAATAGGTAATTAAACACGTGGTTGACACTGTGGTAAACTGTATCTACTAGAATTTGAGGTTACATATAGTACTACTTAGCTGATGCGTTTCCGTACGAAATTCCATGCACAGAGTGCCGCTACGCCATCTTTTAAGAAACAGCGAGAACTTATTCAAGGACCTAATAAGTTATAAATTTTGTGAAAATATTTATGGACTCCCTTTAATTGGTAAGCGACTGATGGATTTGAACACGGAAAGCGAACGCAATCATAACTTTCAAAGCAATCTTGTAGCAGGAGCACGCATCGTTACGCGTAAATCTGCCGCGAGGCTACACAGTTGAAAACTGCGATTAATCGTCCGGCAAAGATATCCGCGAAAGGTACACGTGGGTAATTACCGGGGAAAGAATTTACATTCGGCGGAGCATAACTTGCACTTTCTTCGACGACAAACGAGACATCAAAAATCGCGTCGTCGCAACCAAGGAACTCGATGGAAAACCACGCGACGTTTTTCAGTCTCATTTTCTTCGCGCATGATTTTTTCACGCCTTTTTTTCACAAACAACGCGAAAAAATCGCGCACGGACGAAAAGACAGATAAGCGGTAATTTATTTTCGTACGATGAAACGTCCGATTGGTGTCACCGTTGTACTACTTGAAATTTTTGGGCATACCGGAACCTCGCTGCGCTCGTTACTGTTACTTTTAAGTGGGTTAGCTATAGCACGAGAGATGCTGCTGTCGTGGTGGACACCTTGGAAACGCGTAGGAAATAATGACGATTCTTGCTCGGATCGACGCGTTGTATCAAAGTTAACGGAATCCGTTCGGTCCCGTGGGAAAAATTCGTTTACAGTATTAGCGGGTTCTAATGCTGGTAACGGAAGTTTCTTCTCCGAAGGATTCGAATATTTCAGTCAGCAAGAATTTAATATAAATCACTGTTTTCTTACTCCGAGTGATTAATACAGTAGTACACACGTTAAACATTCGTACTATTAAGAATATAATTCTTTAATTAATTACAGCTACTTTTTATTTTTAATATTTGATTTATTAATCATCTATTTTTCATTACTCTTTTATCTACATCTATTATTTATTATCTTAATTTATTGTATGTTATTTTTATTCCACATCGTGTTAATTATCATCGCGTCCGAGTAGAGAGAAGAAGATGAAAGAAATAAAACTAGTTTGAATAATCATGAAATAAAGAGCCAAAAGCTTATGCTGGATGGATGTGCGTATGTATTTGAACCAGAAGATAAACAACAAACCTGTAACTAGGCCTTCTTCAGTTGTTGTCTTAAACTATGTGTTACAATATAAAATTTAATAACCGCTTCGCATGGTATGAACAGTTTCTCTTTCTAATATATTATACTTTTATTTTAATTACTGACTTGTTAAGATCATTATTATTTATACACGCATAGTTTGGAGTCGTCGAGAAGAGCTCATTATTCTTCTTTGCGATAATTTTAAGCATCGAACATAGAAAAATTATGAAAATTTAGAAAATTTATTAGAATATTAGAATATTAGAAAAATTATGTCTTGAACACTTATCGCACGTCCATCCAGCATAAGCTTTTGGCTCTTTATTTCATGATTGTGAGGCCATGATTGTTAATTTATGAGGCCTCTTTAATATAATTTATTTTAAAACTAGTTTGATTTACATTTTTCCCACGAAGTCTCAATGCCTATGTGAACTTGGCACCCGACTTTTAATAAATAAAGTTTTAAATAAGTAAAATGATAGTACTTCGTTTGTAGTTGTTTGTAGTAAAAATATTTTCGTTTGTAGTTCAACCCATTATCAAAAAAAAAATGTTTAAAAAATGACTGTCACCCGACTTTAAGATTTTTCAAATCCGCTTTTTCCACGTGATTCAGAATCGTTTGTAGTTGTTTGTAGCAATTTTCTTTCCGTTTGTAGTTGCACCGTTTCAAAATTATGATTGTTTCAACAATTAGCCAAGAGTGAACTTTGTTAATTATAAAGATTTTTCAAATCCGCTTTTTCCACGTGATTCAGAATCGTATGTAGTTGTTTGTAGTGATTTTCCTTTCGTTTGTAGTTGCACCGTTTCAAAGTTATGATTATTTGCAATAAACAAATAATGTAACTTTGTCAATTTTGAAGATTTTTCAAATCCGCTTTTTCCACGTGATTCGGAATCGTTTGTAGTTGTTTGTAGTGATTTTCTTTTCGTTTGTAGTTGCACCGTTTCAAAATTATGATTGTTTAAACAATTAGCCAAGAGTGAACTTTGTCAATTTTGAAGATTTTTCAAAAAGTGGCGAAGATATGCATTCTCTCTATCCGTTGTACTACTGTAACTTCTCAACAGTGCAACTACAAACGAAAGGAGAATCGAATGGAAGAAGCGGATTTGAAAAATCTTCAAAATTGACAAAGTTACATTATTTGTTTATTGCAAATATTTTGTAACTTTTAAACTATTCAACTACAAACAAAAGGAAAATCACTACAAACAACTACAAACGATTCTGAATCACGTGGAAAAAGCGGATTTGAAAAATCTTTATAATTAACAAAGTTCACTCTTGGCTAATTGTTTAAACAATCATAATTTTGAAACGGTGTAACTACAAACGAAAAGAAAATCACTACAAACAACTACAAACGATTCCGAATCACGTGGAAGAAGCGGATTTGAAAAATCTTAAAGTCGGGTGACAGTCATTTTTTAAACATTTTTTTTTTATAATGGGTTGAACTACAAACAAAAATATTTTTACTACAAACAACTACAAACGAAGTACTATAATTTTACTTAA